GACGAGGAGGAGAGTGGTCTTACCCTGTCGATGGAATGCAAGGCACTCGGACTGGGAGGTGGCAATCAACCAGTCCTTACAGTTGTTAACGACCCTGTTGGAAGAGTGTTCAGGATCGGATCTTCAGAGATTAATAGGGGTTGAGGTACCAGATCGGGCCTTTATATTGAGGGAGGGAGGAGAGGAACCGATGACAATAGGAGAGCAAGGAGAGGACGAGACAACAACCGATTTCGGACCGCTACAGTTCCAAATGGGGGCGGAATCCGAACTGAGGGAGGGTTTGATTTGGATGCCTTGGCAGGTGGTGGAGACGATTCCCTATGGGTTGCTAGGGGGGGAACTAGGGGCGGAATGGGTGGCGAGGTGCGCAGCGGTTGCAGTGAAGGTGTAGGCGTTGGCTTGGAAGCCGAATTTCTTCGAGAAGAGGGTAAGTGAAGTAGCAAAGACCATAGAGCTCACTGTACAAGACACTTGAAAATGGAAAGATAAATGAGAAGTCCACATTCTAACGAGGAGACCCAATGGAGAGAGGAGAGTTAGAGAGACCAAGAAAGCATAGAAGAAGGATTGAGGGGGGTACGGGTCTACCGGAACTCAAAATAGCGTCATGGAATGTGAATGGGCTAGTTGGGATTTTAGCGAATGGAGACAAGTGGCAAAATGTAGTAAATTACTCAGAATGGTTCTCTTTGTCTCCACTGGATTTCTTGTGTTTGCAGGAAACACACTTACAAGAATCTGTTGGGCACCAGAAAACGAAGTACCAGATAGAGCAGAAACTGCAAAGAATTAAGCAGCATGGTGGGCCCCAGCAACAAACAATCATTCCACGGGAGTGGTTATACTACAGAACAAAAGGGCGAAAGCGGCAGACAAGATTATCATCACAGAAACAATGGTGGATTAGGAGGAGGGAAGATGGGTCAAGATTGACTTCGAGCTGCATGAGGAACCCTACACGCTACTGTCGGTTTACTGTCCTAACGGTTATCAACAAAGATTAGATATGATCGAAAGGCTCAAGGAACTCCTGGATGGGAATAGACACCTGATCTTAGCAGGAGACTGGAATGCCACCTTAGATCCTAGCCTAGATAGAATCTCAGGGGGCTTTAGATCACAGGAGGAGGGTTGGACAGAAGAGTCGCTACCGATTCATGGGCTAATGACGAATTTACAACTGATAGACCCTTATAGGTTACTCTTCCCGGAGGAAAGACAAGTCACCTACCGTAAGAGAAACCGTAGCCAACACGTGTCGGCTTCCAGGATAGACTATTTCTTAACATCACCTGGCATAACGGGCATGTTGCACTCAGTAATTATAGGTAGCCTACCGTACGATGTGGGTTTGGACCACAAACCCATACTGCTGAGTTTGACATCAGACAAACAAATCAACAGGGGTAAGGGGTTTTACAAAATCAATAACTCCCTCCTAAAAACTAAGGAAATGAGACAGGCGGTCTTATAAGTATGCCAAGAACACAACCCGGATACACACTCATTCCCAAAACTGCTAACATCATTGTCTAAGGCTTCTGCTATAGTGGCTAGGAGGCTAGCGACAAAGAGGAAGGAAAGAGAGGAAGAACTGGCGCGAGCAATAGAGATAGCAGAGCGCAATACTATTCTTCGGCCAGGGGACGAAATATATGAAGGAGTATTAGAGACGGCAAAAGGTGAGATGTTGGAATGGCAAGGCTGGAAAATGAATGGCTTAAGAATGAGAGCTAGAATTAAAGAATGGGAGGAAGGGGAGAGAATGACCAAATTCTTCTTCCAAAAAATCAAGACTAGGAGCAGGAACAACCTCATAAAGAGCTTAGAAGGGGAAGGGGGCCCCACTTCCGACAAGGAAGGGTTGTTAAGGGCTGCTTTCGACTTCTATAGTAAACTATATACATCAGTGGAAG